ATGGAAAGTATTCAGTTAAAAGCGGGTTCATCTGGTCTCCCCATACCGCTTTAGAATCACCTATGAAAACGCTTTGAATACAAAAATCAAAAAATTTCTGTCAAGATTTTTGCCTTCATTTTTCATTTACCCTTAATTTCAATAATTTTTAAGTCTATACTGAACTAATCTCTCCGCGTTGCAACAAGGGCCCTAACTTAACTACTATTCCCAAATCCTTGACTACTATCAACATTATCGTAATTGGGACACACTTGACTTTTAGCAAATGATATAATTCCTAAAATGTAGTTACTTCGCAATCTTTTTATAATGTTGATATGGTATCACTGTCAATATAATATTAAGACAATCCTAGGTACCATAATATCTTCGCATTCCTTGATTGTCATAGACTTCTTCTTCTTAAATACCCTCTAGTTTAGATGGTGTAACGAAGATTGTATAAAAATAAACTAATAAAGTAAATTTCCCAGACATTCACTTTTATTTTATATATTTTTTTTGCAGAAAAAGGGAGAGAAATTAAGAGGGAAAAAATTAGAAGAAAGCGCTTCAATTAGTTCTTATTCGTATATTAAATATTCAATGTCCTCCAATGACAAACACTTTTATACTGGAGGACATTCATACGCTATCGATCATACTATCTAATACGATTAATGAAACTTAATTAATTGTAAACGTGAAAGGGCAGCAAGTAATGCTAGATGTTCTACATGCTAAATATGAAAGCAAGTTTTTGTCTTTCACGTCTGGCTCAGCTCATTTACATTCGAAATTTCGAAATTAATGCAAAAAATTTGTGTCTAAAGAACTGACTGAACTATAACTTTACTATAAACTTTTCGTACGAATCGTACAACTTGTCTCGATTACATTGTGATGTCAACAAAAAGCCGCCTCAAATGAGTTTTTGAATTTAGGATCGAATTATTTGTTGTTGGATTCAGATACTCTTCCTTAATATCAACACAATGTTATCGGCTCAAATGATTGTTTAGTTGTCATACAATACTTTACTCAAGGGAAATGAAAATCATTGATGAGAGAGATAAAGTTGTACGCTCTAATACAGTACGAGGAGAGTGCGCTCCATATGATTATATATTATGAATCATCCCCCTTCGGACTTTCTATATTATTTTTCAAAAATCAAAGGAGCGTAAGCAGTATTTATTTTAATTTTAAAGCAACAATAAAGAAAAGGAAAGTGGAGAAGAGAAAAAAACAAATAGAAAAGATAATAAAAGCAAATAAAAGAAAAGAAAAGGAAAGAAAGCTTTGCTTTTCTCCTCATTTTTCCTTGTTTTTATATTCACCTTGAAACGAACCTTTTGTACCCACTTGCTCAAGTCAATACATAGATTTTACAATATTTTTTTCATGTATTGTCGTCGTCTCTTTACGCTAACCCTTCACATATATACTAACATTTTTTAGATATTTCTTTTCCATCATTATCTTATATATATATATATATATGTTAAAATGTAATTTTTTTTATCTCTTAACGGCGAATTTATGCGCTAACCATAGTCATTTTTGCATCAAGTTTTTATCTTGTCCTGATAAAAGTAGGCCTTGTTTATATATTGGCTTTTGCTATGCATTCCAAATTAAAAGTTTCATTATATTAGGGTCCGATTATGATTTCCAAATTTGAAAAATGTTTCATACATTTTCAGTTCCTACTTTATGTGTCTAATATTGAAATCATGCCACGAATAACAGAAAGACAAATTAACAGTTGGGCATAGCTAAATCGATACGTTGTTGATACGTTTATTCCGAGTATAGGACACTTTCAGTGACAGAATTCATGTATTTATTATGCGCGATTTGCTTTAATTTGTTTCTCGTTGACTGAAAATTACGAGAACACTTTCACTGACTATAATTAAAAGAGAGATTCGAGTCTAGGCGACAATTATTCGAGATTTGTTTAAGGACCCATTACATGACTACATCGTGCGCCCGTAATCGTTTACTAATCAGTTAATAACGTGCCAAGTAAATTAAAATAATTTTGTATATGTGCAAAAGAAAATTATTAATTAAACAGAAAAAATAATATGAAAGTGTTATTTGTATATAAGTTATAGAAGGCACCACTCCAAGCCACATGCAACACATACGTTGAACACTCTGCCAAAAAGAAATCAAAAAATTTCTATGCACTATTTAAGCAAGCGTTAGTATATCTCTTGCTACCCGTACCTAAAATAAACTTTCAGACAACATTCGACTAAAATTTACAACATAAACAAAAAAAGTTCAAAAAAAAAAAAAAGATATTCCACTGTAACCGAATCTTATGTACCCACCAACTTTATCTTAAAAAAGCTTAAAACCCAAAAGCAAAGAGCAAACAAAAGAATTCCCCTACTTTATAACATTAGATCGTCATGCCTGATTCTATTCCAGTCTGTCTGCGGTAACGTAGGAATAGTGAACCAAAACCCCAGAGAGCAGAGCTATTTGTATTTGCTTACGTTGCCTTGCAGGCGTGTCGCGAAACGATTTCGCTGATATTCAATACCAACCTGCATACAATAACTTCTAATGTTTCGGATGAATTTTATACGAATTTTTTTTGATCTTTGCAAATGTGAGAAAATGTACAAGAATTAGTACAAAAACGAACAGATAGACGCATAGACATGCTTAAACCGGCTTAAAATTGAATGCTCTCTGAAGCTTCCTTGCTTGCCACTGTTGTTGCAAACGTTTCCAAAAAAAAAAAAAAAATTAAATGAAGTAAACCCATTCGCACTTTGATAGTCGATGTGAAATAAAACACGTTCGAAGGCGAGTCAGGGATACTCGCACTACTCGTTTTTCTTAATTCAAACTACATATGGTTAATGGTTTATGAATTTTTTTTTAATAATTGCCCCACTCTTATAAGTTTTCGAGAAATTGATAAAAAGTTTGATTCAAAGTTTTAGTTAGCTAGAGCAGAAGTGTTGATAGACAGATCAGTTTACAGTTTACAGAAAAAGGATCGAAAATGTATGCATGTGACAACAACTGCAATCTTCTATCCCAATTTGCGGTAGTTTAAAAATTGATGTGGACTGGACAAACGGTCGGACGAACGAAAATGGCTGTATAGATTCACTATATTAGATCGATCAAAAATATGTACGCATACATATGTTTTATAATTTTGACTGATTTTTATTTGTGAATATTGCAAACGAAATGATAAAATTAATATATAACAAGCGTATACATATATATATATATATATATATATATAAATCATACAAACTAGCGTTGATTTACACAATATGTTGTCAGTCAGTCAGTTGGTCTTAAATGTGAGTGCAGTAATCACGCTGAACATTGTACATATTATATAAAAGTTTATCGTCTTCTTCTTTTTTAGGGAGAAATTTCCAAAAAGAAAAACAAAAGTATATAAAAAAATCGGAAAAAAAACGTGCATGATTGGCGTATGTTCTCACATTAGATGTTTAGACAAATATATATATAGTTTTTTTATGTACGTCATGCAGTCGGTGGCGCATTTATAATGAATGAAGAATTGCTTGCAAAAAATAAATTATTAAAAGTACAGGGGAATGCAAACAAGTCCATGAGAATAGATGAATAGATAGAGTTCGTGGATTGCTTTTTATAAGATTTTATCCAAAATTTTTTAACCCATCACCAGGAAAGGACGAAGATACATTAAATTTACTTATGCCCCCTGCGAAAATGTTTAGATCTATCTACCTGGCCTGTATGATATTAACAAGATCGCTCTCTAATCGCTAGTATTCCGATAAAAATATTAAACTATTTTTGATGGATAAAAAAAAAAAAAAAAAAAAAAAACAAGACGGAAGATAGCCTGATCCTAGCACTTAACTCACAATTAAAAAATTAAAAAACAGGTAAAGAGCACTGTAGCACTATAACCGTCGACCATTGCATACATTATAAGGCCTTACCTATTACAGTCCCTCATTTTCATTCGCGATAAAATACCAACAATTATACCTTATGTTTACCTAAAAGCATACCTCTTGTGGGATCCATTTCGTGAAATCAGAAAAATGGGCCTACCTGGTTCAAATATGATCCTGTCAATTTCTATATCAAATCACGATTGATCACAATTTTCACCGCAAATTATTACAAAAATAAATCTTCTTGTTACATAAAGGTTTACCTTCCATCAGAACGCTGGCAAGGAGTCGGGGTGCAATATATAGACTTACATAATTTCGTATAACTGTTTTTCATTTCAATTTTTTATTATGAACCGATTCCTATTGTGAAATGTTAAAAATGACACCATTACTCCAATATAAAGGGTTACCTTTCGCAAAAACAATTAAATAAGATCCTCCAGACCTGTCCAGACCAAATATGCTTTCACTAATAATGTAAGAGATAGAGCGGATATTAATTCCAAACGAATCTCGATAGTATCATTATTACGGAAGTTTATTGGAGAGATACATTCATCAACCTTTAAAGTAAACAAAATTTTGGAAATTTCTTTCGGATTCTAGTAATCAATCTTAAACGACAACGAAATTCTTTAAACTTATTTCGGTGCACAATTAATTTGTAAAAAAAAAGTTTTTAGTTCCTAAACTTCAAGGAAAAGGAGAGTTCTTAACTTTTTATTGACTTCTATTCAAAACGTTTCATATTTAAAACGGATCCTACTGGAGAACCTTTGCATCGAATTTTTAAACCTTTCACACTCATGCGACAATAAGCCATTGTATCGCATTAAGTTGTACAGATGTCCGATTACTGCTATACTATAAATATCGCTTGAATATATAAAACGCATAGCTTCGACATATAGTCGGTGATTCGACTAACAAATGACGGCGGACCTTGCTTAGTTCTATTATTTCAAATTGTTTTTTCAAAATTACAACAATCCTATCGAATATTTATATATATAATATATATATATATATATATATATATCAATATAATTGATAAAATCAATGTAATCAATAACTTACCTGATGTAAACACTAAGGATGCATCAAGAGGTTTTTTAGGAGTTCATCAATAGTTTTAGTATTCAATTTCGAAATCCTTTTTGATTAATATTAATAAATTTTCTTTAACGGTTTTCTTATTTCCTTTTACTTTTGTTCTTATGCTTTCGTATTTACTCTTTATTATATCTCTAGTTCTCACACATTTTTAAAATTCTCTTCTCCTCTCTTTTCCATTTCTAATGTTTTTCCTTTTTTTTTGTTTCCTTATTTTTTTTTTTTTTTATTTATAATTTATTAAAACACAGAATACCGTAATATGTGTACGTCTAATGTGTATGTAAATGTACACATGCTTCCTTCTTCACTTCACTTCATTTGTTTTTTTATTTTTTTTTTTTTTTTTTTTTTTTTTTTTTTTTGTTCTGTTTCTGTTTCTTTAGTTTTTTCTGTTTTTTGGTTAGAGATGACGAGGCTTTAATAAACAAACATATAGGCATACAATAAAAACACTACTGTGTTTATAATAGCATGCTATATATTTTCATAAGCTCACACAAATGCACACTCGCTAACAGTGTTTTGTTTCCTTCCTAAGCGAGAGAAAAAGAGATACGTTTCCTTATTTCATCTAAAGGGAAAAATTTATATTTCGTTTTTTTTTTTTTTTTTGCTTTACTGACTGTAATTTTGTTGCTGTAGTTCTTGTTGCCTGCTCTTATTCTTAAAACAAAAAATTTGTGTGCATGTTGAGTGATTCAGCTGTGGTTGTTCTTGTTGTTGTTGTTTCTGTTTCTGTTTCTGTTATTTGCTATATTCAGCACGACATTTTATGGGCCTGACAACGTGTTTAACTTTTTTTTTGCAATATTTTTTTTTTTTTTTTTTTTTTTTTGCTTTATAAGTAAAAAAATAAAAACACAAAAATGTAACCGTTTCAAGGGGTATTCATGTTTATACAACACTTACACTCACATACATATATATTACATACACGATCTTACAAATTTGTACACATGACGTGGTAAAAGTCTTGTCGACAGAGACAGGCGGCGGGGGTTCATGTGGGAGTTTAACTTAGGTTGATTCAGTTTAGTGTCGTGTACAAAAGTAGTAGTCCTAGACACTTTAAGTAGGACACAAGCAACAGTAACACGATTTTTATTATGAAAAATTTATTTCAATTCAAATCTTTATGTTTTTCTTAAAATTAAAAAAAAAAAAACGAAACACAAAAACGAAAAAATCAATAACTATTATTGATATCATTTTAATATTTCTTTTTCCATTTTATTATATTATACTTAAGACTTGAATTGTTAGCATCGTTATTATTACCGTTATTATTATTATTCTTGTTATGATTATTACTATTATTATTATTATTATGATTATTACTATTATTATTATTATGCTTTAATCACAACAAACACACATACATGGGGAACACAACAACTGGTTTCTTTAATTATTTTATTAATATTTATTTTAAGAAGAGAAGAGCGTAAGCTCAACATGTATTCTCCAAAAAGTGAAAGTACCGTTAACAATGGCTTGTCGCAATGCACTGTATAACGGGTGATTTTTCGTTATGTCTGTGATACTTGGCTGCTGCCATATTATATTGATGATGTTGACACTGACAGTACTTAGGCATAATGTGCGCTACGTTGTGCAAAAGTTGATACCACTCTTTCTCTTGTTGATTTTCAGCTCGCAGTAGTAGCAACATTGTTGTTAACATAATTTTTGGTGGTTGTTTTAAATAAGAGTAAACGTAGAATATGTACAGCTTTGCTCAATATTTAATACGAAAGAGAGTAAGGATTGTTCTCACACGGCACTCGTAACATTTAGAGTGAATGGGATATTCATTCGTAATACTCTGCAAAATGTTGAAATTTTTTTTTTTTTTTTTCCTTGTTTTATTTTTTTAAACAAAACGAAAAATGTTCATTGCATAGAAGAAAACAAATTTTGCATATGTATGTGTATGAGTAAGCGAGTGAATAAGTGCGTGCGTGAGTGCGTGCGTGCGTGCGTGAGATTGTGTGAGTTGTGATACGAAATCACTTGAGCTTAATTTGTAATCTAATCCCGTAGAATTGTTATTTGTTTGTTTGTTTGTTTGTTTATTTGTTTGTTTGTTTGTTGCTTTCTACTCTCTTCATAATTGGTTTTATTGTTATTTCTATTGCGATTCCGATTGTAAACTTATTTTGGAGTTTTTGTAATTTAACCTTCTGCCCTACTCTGTGGGAATGCGTCATCGCTTTTCAATTAAACAGTATATATATATATATATATATATAGAGAGAGAGAGAGAGATAGAGAGCCTTTCGAATATTTTTATTTTCAATTTCATTTTTTTTATTTTTACATTTTGAATATATATTTTTTTTTCTTTTTTTTTTGCATCTTAAATTTTCCTTCCATTCAAAAAGAACTTTACGTTAACAGCCTTTTCGTGTCGTCCATTAATCGCTTTTTCAATTTTTCCGATTCGATAGCTTTGCTAGAGTAAGTCAGACAAAGCTTATTTATGGCCTTTAGAATTGTCAAAATGTTGCTATTGTTGTTATTATTATTTTAGTACACACGCACTCTGTCAAGGTTATTTCCTGTTGTTTGTCAATGAAATTGGAAAAAAAAATAAAAATTTATTAAAGCTTTACGATAGTTGAAGAACCAAAGAACCAAAAAAAAAAAGAAAAAAAAAACCAAAAATTAAATTAAAAATTAATAACAATTTCATTTCATTTTTGTTAATCAAAAGAACCGAAAAAATTGAAGGCAATTTAACAGAATAATTCATAAATAGGAGTTATTTGTTTACATAATTTTCATTAATTCGTCTATTAATTTTTCATTTCTGTTAAGCATTAACTTATTTGTCAA